GGAGATATATATACACACATACAGAAAGCATAAACAGCTTTCTGTATGTGTGTATATATATCTCCTCAATATATGTTCCATTCTATATGCATCCGAAGAAGTGGGCTGTAGTCCACGAAAGCTTATGCTCTAATAAATTTGTTAGTCTCTAAGGTGCCACAAGTCCTCCTGTTCTTCTTTTTTCTGAAATATAAAGTTATGCTTGGGATACATATGAGTTACAGTGTACTATTGGTGTAATTTATTTGGTTGTTAATGAGCTCACAGTGTAGTTTTAAGCTGCCTAGCTGTATTGTAAATCAAAGATAAATCTGAAGTCCACACTATTACCGTAGATTTATAGCATTATTAATTTTTTTAAATTTACCAGTCTAGAAAAATGGTTTGTTGTACATCCTTGAGGTTTTTTCAACCACTGTGTATTTATTTTTATAATAGTGGCACTACATAAACATACAACATAATTCTAAAATTCAACTGGCAAAAACAAAAACAAAAAATACACACTTGGGAAATAATCAGTAAGATAACAGTTAAAGGGGTTCTGTCAAATAGCATGGGCCTAAAATTCAATGTACCTTAATATTTCTAATATTTGAGACCTCCTCCTGCTCTCATTGAAGACTAAAGTAGTTCTTTCATTGACTTCAGTTGGGCCCCCTTTTTAATCCATTAGTTTGATGCTAATTTTTGTTTAAAGTATGGAAGATATTTTCATGAAGAAATCAGGCAATAGCATTTTTGTTGCTTCCATCAACTGGTTCTAAAGCAACAGTTAATGAATCAACCCTATTCCACTAACCCTATGTCAATTTCCACTGTGCTGAAATCCATTAGAAAGCCAGGGATACATCCATGTTTGTCAAATGAAAAAGGAGAAAGTTGTTGAGGTAATACATTGTTAGCCAAATGTTCAGAAACTGACGCTTATATTGCACACGCTTTATGGATGGAAATAGACAATTGACTATTGAGTATGTAATCTACTAGCTGTGCACCACTTCCCTATACTGGATGGATTATCAGATCACATGAAATATTTATCAGTAGCCACAAAGAAGATCTAAATCAGGGATCGGCAACCTTTGGCACACGGCTCACCAGGGTAACACCCCTGGCGGGCCGGTTTGTTTACCTGCCGCATCCGCAGGTTCGGCCGATCGCGGCTCCCAATGGCCGCAGTTCACCGTCCCAGGCTAATGGGGACTGCAGGAAGTGGCGCAGGCCGAGAGATGTGCTGGAGGTCAAGAGGCAGGAATCAGAGTCAGGCTGGAGTTGGAGACTGGACATAAAAGGTAGAAATCAGGCTCAGAGACAGGCTGGAGCCAGAGATCAGGAGACAAAGCAGGCCAAAGTCTCTGTGGTTTCGCAGACAACTTTCTGGGCCAACTCCTGGGGTTAATTCAGGCACTTGGCCAACCAGAGGACCTCAGGGTACTGTCACTCTGGGTTTCTTGAGCAATACATCCTGCTGCGCCTACTCTCCACAGTGTTCCCTGGTTATACCGCCACATGACCTCTCAGTATCACTGTGGGAACAATGGCAGCAGGTTTGTATAATTTTTGGTGGTGTCCAGAACGGGTCCAAGTCCCCCCCAGTTCCACACCCCACACGTGCCTTGTAAGCTGATATATATTTTTTTAAATAATGTAAAAATGGACTGGAAACAGTAAGCATTTAACAGTTTCCCTATATTGCACGATGTGGGGTGGGGTGGGGTGGGGGGATGAGGGCTCTGGCTGTGGGTGCAGGCTCTGCGGTGGGGCTGGGGATGAGGGGTTTGGGGTGTGGGAGAGGGCTCAGGGCGAGGACAGAGGGTTGGGGTGTGGGGGATGAGGGCTCTGGCTGGGGATGAGGGGTTTGGGGTGTGGGAGGGGCTCAGGGCTAGGACAGAGGGTTGGGGTATGGGCTGAAGCCAGGGATGACGATTTCATGGTGCAGGAGGGTGCTCAGGTTGGGGTGCGGGGGGTGGGTGAGGGCTCCAGGGCCCCAGGACTCCACAGTCCCCCCAGCCCTCTCCCTGCTGGCAGCAGCAAGCTCTGGGGTAGGGGCTCCCCTCCGCCCCCAGCAGCACACTCACCTAACACTGACACTGCACGTGCTCCTAGGAGCCTCACCTGTGGTGGGTGCCAGGAGGAGGGGGCTGCCATCACATGTGGCCTTCTCCCCTGCTGCAGCCTGCTGTCCCTCACTGTAGCCTCATGAGAAATGGGGCTGCCCCTGGCCCAGCATGGGGCAGGAGTGGTGGCAGTGGGTAGGGGTGGGAAGCGTGGATATCACAGTCGAAACTCACCCAAGCCCCAGCAGCTGCTCAGGTGAGGTCCAGACTCCATCTCCCGAAAGCCACCTTGGCATTGCCTCCTGATGGGTGCCGGGGCAAGAGGAGGGCTGCCAATCATGTGTGCACTTCCTCCCCTCCTACCTCCGCAGGTGCAGCAGCCACCTCAGCCTGCCACCGGCACTGCTCTTGTATTGTAGGCAGCAGTGGCTGCCGGCGGTGGCGAGGGAACGCAGTGCGGAGTGGCAGGGCAGCCACCCACTTGAGGCAGTGATGCTCCGGGGCCCAGGGGAGGCATGTGGGGGTCGGGGGACGCTCTGGAGGAAGCACATGGTGGTGGCAGACAGGGCCGGGGGAGAGACCCCGCTCCAAACATTGGTGGAGCTGGGCCTCTGGGCCCTGAATATTCCTGGAGCCTGGGCACCACAGGCCCTTACAACTTGCTGCCCCTGTGTGAGAATAGCAACTGTCCTATGCTCTGCAGACACAGGTTTTAGTCCCTGGGCTCTTACAACTTGGGAATGAGGGCTGAGGTGTGGGAATGTGCAGTAGGGCTGTCAAGTGCATGAGTATTACACAAGATTTATGATACTTGGCACTCTGCACGGTGTTCCAAGGAGAACATGCTAAATAGGTGAAGAAATAGCCATGCACTATAGCCAATTAAAGTAATAATGA